ATTTAAACCACTGAGCATTATAATTGTAACAGGACAAATATTCTATGTTCCCAGGAGTTCTCAGCCCCATGGAGGAGATAGGAACTAAAATGTCACACAGGTACTATACACTGCCACTCTAGGTGAGGTGCCACAAGAGGAAGAATGCAGGGCACATGCTTTTCAGGCAGGTCTAGTATGTGCTAAGGCCCTGGAGTAGGAACCCTTCTTGCACACTGGAGACACTGAAGGGAGCCAGAGTTCCAGAACTTAGGGAGGAGATGGTGTTACAGGGAGGGCGGACAGATGCCTCCGGGAAATGAGTGCAGTTTGGATTTCATCCTCGCTGCAACAGAGCCATCCAGGGGTTAAAGCTTCAGTGTAATAGGATCTGGCTTCCAGAAGACCCTTCTTTTGGGGAGTGGCTGTAGGGGGCAAGCGTGGAGACCAGGAGGGAGGGACTGCATTCCTTCAGGGGATCAGGGATGCATGACTGGTGAGGGTGATGGCGGTAGAGGGGGAGAGAATGTGAGAGGTGTCAGATGCAGACTCCGAGGACTTGGCAATGGCCTTGAGGTGAGAGAGAGGGAAGCAGGCAGCAGGTTTCAGGATGGGAAAGACAGAGGAAGAAAATTGGGGGGACAAGTTGGGTCTATGTGACATCTGAGATGCTTCTGGCACTCAGAAAAATGGACCAGCCATGAGATGTTCTTTTGGTTTTCGGATCCCATCAGAGAGTCCAGGTGAGGTACTGGTTGTGGGCACCTGTCCTCAACACCTGCCCAACTCCGACCCTGCTAGGAGGCCAGTCCCTTGCCCGGCGACAGCCATCAGGAGAAGTCTGGGATACTGCCAATGCAGAACCCCAGCTCCGAGGGTTTCCCATCCTGATCTGCTGTCCAGATCCACGTGGGACACCTCATTATAAAGGGCGTCGACTCCGCGGTGGCTGTCACCAGTTCAGGAGCTCAGCGGCCGCCTTTGAGTTGCTCCCGTCTCATTATCCCTGGAGTTCCTACTTCTTTTTTGTGGAAATTTAATTGCCTTCTAGGTTTGAGAGGGTCTGGACCAGCTGTTCAGGTTTGGGAAGTCAGAGTTAAATGCACCATGATCAAAGGCTGCAAGAGGCCAGCTTCGGTCTTGTCACAGCTCCTTAAAGTCGGAGCCACTTTTCTCCTCCCAAAATGGAAACCAAATTGCTCAGTGTGGAAACTTGAAAGGAAGAGTGTTACACAGTTCCCATCATTTGAACTGCCGGCTGCATTTTAAATGGTCTCTCTTTGGAAATGGACCACCCCGGATGCATCCTGAGCTCCCCATGGGAGGTGGCAAGCGGCGCTATCTTTGATGGGCCTTGGGTCTCCAAGGACCTTCTTTGAACATCAAGCCCAGGATGGATCCCAAGAGCCACTGAGTTCTGCTCGTCCTCCCAGATGGCTTCCCTTCCCATCAGGGACCTGGATGCAAACCAGAGCACCACAGGCTGGGAGACCTTGAGCAAGTCACACTGTGTCCCGCATGAGAAACCAGGCTGGAAACTTCTCTGTCAGCTTTTGCTAGGAGTAAATCAGACGCAGCGTGTGTGAGCGTGCTCTGTTAATGAAAGCCCATTTGTGGTTAATGTCATTCATCTTACTGCCCCTCCTAGGGGTATACTTGTACTTCAGAAACAAGGAGCCCCTAGAAGCTGGCAGTATGTCTCAGGGAGGAAAAGCATCTCTAAAATGTTTGAAAACAAATTTGTGTTTGAAGGGCAGGGATAACAGGTGTGAAGTTACGTGGAGAGCCACAAAGTATATAAATAGCAGAGGAGGTGACAGGAGCAGCTGGCCTCACTCCTGGAGGGTGCAGGGCCACCTTCTGTTACTCTCCTCACTTGTTTTCTCCTCTCCTCTTACCCCTCCCTTCCCTTTTCTTGCCTTCCTTCCCTATCCTTCTATTCTCTTCCCTCACCTAACTTTTTTTTTTCCTGAATCCCCTCCCCCTCCTTTTTTCATTCCAAGAAGGCTATGAGCTTTTTCACTTAGTACTTTCTGTCAAAGAGTCAGTTTCCTTTTGTGCTGGCTTAAGCACAAAAGGAATTGATTGGGTTGAGTAACTGAGAGGTGGCAAGGTAATGGGCTTTAGGCCCAGCTGGATCCAGGGGTAGAACAATGTCATCAGCATTTATTCATTCTCTCTCTCTCTCTCTCTCTCTCTCTCTCTCTCTCTCTCTCTCCTGTACCCCTGTGTTGGCTGCATCCTCAGGCAACTGCTCCTTATGTGGTAGCAAAAGTGACCTTTTTGTAGCTCAAGTTTACATCCTTACATCCTACTGGCTCAGTTACCAGCGCAGAAAGAGAAAAGAGAGTGCTTCGTTCCTTGCAATCCTGGAAAATATTTAAGTGACTCAGAGGTTCACGGGTCACAGACACTTCCACCAACTGATCATTGGCTGGATACTATAAAGTTCCATTTAACCAAGGCTGGGACTCATACCCATCCTGGGAGCCCCAATTAGAGTCAGCCCCCTCAAAGCCGCACAAGCTGGGATGGGGGAGCGGGGGTGAGCAGTTCTTCAAAAGCAGTTCAAGCTGCCCTGACCTGAAGGAGGAGGCACAGGTGCCAGCTGAGACCCACAGTGCTCTTCAGTGTAGTCCTCTCCTCCCTCTGTCACCTTATTCCTGCATAATATCCACGTGTAACTGGCCACTGTGCCTCAGGGCACCATCTTCAGCCAGAAGGCAGCCCCACACCCGCAGCTTCTGAGTGGGACCCTCATGTGACCTCCTGTCTCTCCTCCTCCCCAGCCACCTTGGTCCGGCCACCATGATGATCCCCACTCCTGCTGCTGGCACACTGGCCTAGAAACAGCATGGGCTTCAGATCACTAGAATCTGGGTTCAAAGCCCTGCTCTGCCACTTTCTGAGATAAATGATGACAGAATAGGGGAACAGGAGGTTGCCCTCGGCACACACCTCTTTCAGCTACCCCCTACCTCTCTCCACCCCTGAACACATCCCTCCGCAGCTGTGCCCCACAAGAACCCCTGAATCCTAGGCTGTTCCTTCTGCCCCACAACTCAGTGAAGGCAACTCCAGTGCCCTGTCCTCTAAGATCCCACCCTGAGGCCCTTGCCCTGCATCTCACTGCAGCGTGATGGTCTCCAGGGACCCTCCCCTGGGATTACTGCCTGCTGCCTTAATCAGTCTCTAACCAGAAGGTTCCATTGAGCTGCAGAGGCGTGGCCTCCCTGGGAACCCAGCCTCTTTCAGGCAGCACAGATGCTGCATGGGCTATGAGAAACTGAAGCACACCCAGCAGAGCAGTTCCACTTTTCTGATGAACTTTTTATAAGTTCTCACACTTTCCAAGCATCTTCCTGCTGTATGGCATCTTCATCTGCCTCCTCAGTGAGTGACATTTGGGGCCCCTGGAACTGCCTTCCTAGAGCCTTTGGTGACCACCCTAAGCCACACACTTGCCTCTTTATATCAGAACAGAGACCCAGGCTGAGAGGCCCAGGATGCCAGTTAGAAATGCCCAGCCAGAAGGCAAGGAGTGAATCATCACCAGGACAGCAGTGACTTATAGTGGGATAGCAGGAACCTGGGAGCCCAAGGACCACCACAGCCTAGAGTCCTGGTAGAAAACACATAAATTGATAGATCACACAGTCCTTGGTTCAAATCCTGACTTAGGTATCTGCCTGCTGTGTGATCCTAGGCAAAACACTTCACCTCCCTGGTCCTCAATTCTTTGCATCTACAAAAAAATCTGTGCATCTGCAGTGAATGTTATATTCACTGCAGAGGGTTCCTGTGAATCTTCAGTAGTTTCATATGAGAGAGAGAGAGAGAGAGAGAGAGAGAGAGAGAAAGAGAGATCAATGAATGTGAGTTTCTTACTAACAAAATAGGAAAGAATAAATCAATAGGAATAAGAGCGGGCTGGGGATGTGGCTCAAGCGGTAGCGTGCTCGCCTGGCGTGCGTGCGGCCCAGGTTCGATCCTCAGCACCACATACAAACAAAGATGTTGTGTCCACCAAAAACTGAAAAATAAATATTGAAATTCTCTCTTTAAAAAAAAAAGGAATAAGAGCTTTCAAGGAGAGAGAGGGACATTCGGGCATGGACCCTGTGGTCCATTCAGCATGCCTCTAGCAGGTCTCTTCTGTGTGCCAGCCCCAGATAATGCCAAGTGAGGCAGGAATCCTCAGATCACAAAAGAAGCTGAGCTGAGGAGCCAGAGGCCTGTGAGGGCAGGGCCTGAGCTGGCTGAGAGACCCAGAGGAGAAGGCACTGAATCCCACTGTGCGCCCCCACCTCATTCGCATGGTTTAATGTGAAGGGTGCTGTACACATTTTCAGATGAGGAAATCACCATCCCGGCGCTGGGTCCAAGGCTGCCCGTGTTGGCAGGGGCTAGGAGAGGAGAATGCCGTCCTGTCTGTCATAGGATGGGCCTTCTTCCTTCCTCTGCCCAGGAGAGATGCAGAAGGGGAGAGGGTTCACAGCTTAGAGCCCTCATGAGGTTTGTTGAGGGTGGATTAGCAGAACAGTGTCCTAGAAGTTGCTATTCTTTGGTTGACAACATTCTCAGTAGCTTCAGGAGGCATGACCCACACCCAGAGGTCTGCCACTATTTCTGTCACTTGCTGTAGGACCTTGAGCAAATCACTTTATTTCTCTAGGCCACCTGCTTCCTTCGCTCCAAGGAGCTAAATGATCTCTGAGCCCCACCGCTGGCTGAGACTTGCGGATTTCTAACCATGGTTAGTCTTCTGTTGCAGCTGGAACAAATTGCCACAAATGAAGTGGTTTAAAATTGACCATTTTCTCTAGGTCAGAAGTTGGACTTAGGTCTACAGGGCTAACATCAAGATAGGGCCATGTTCCTCCCAGAGGCTCTAGGGAGGAATGTGTCTCCTTGCCTTTTCCAGCTTCTAGGAGCTGCCCGTGTTCCTTAAGTCCTGGAGACTGACTTGCTGTCTCCATGTCAGCTTTCCATCACTATAACAAATACCTAAGACAGTCACCTTACTAAAGAAAAAAGGTTTATTTTGGCTCGTGGTTTCAGAGGTCCAGTCCAGGATCAAGTGGCCCTGTTGCCCAGGTGAGGCTGTACAGCATAGCAGGGAGCATGTCTCAGAGCAAAACTGCTGACCATGGCCGGGAGCCAAGAGAGAGGAAGAGAAAGAGTCTGGGGTCCTGCTGTCCCCTTCAAGGGCATGCTCCCAGTGACCTGAAGACCTCCCACTAAGCCCCACCTCTTAAAAGGTTCCACTACCTCCTCGTAGCATCATGCTGAGGACCGAGTCTTTAACACATGGGAGACACTCAAGTTCTACCAAACCACAGCAGCCTCCTTTGTCATTAGATTGGGCTCCCAGGTCACCCAGGACAAGGCTTCTGTCTTAAAGTCAGCTGATGAGCAACCTCGGATCCCCTCTGCTTGTAGCATAGCATAGTCATGGTTCCTGGAACTTGGACGTGGGCTTCTTTGGGTAGCTGCTGTTCTATCTTCCAAGCCTAGAAACGAAGGCACTTCTGGGAGGTCTTGGACAAGCCATTTCCCCTCTTTGAGCCTCAGTTTCTCTTCTATGAAATGCAGGTGACCATTTTGACCCCCACCACATGTGGCTGCTCTAAAAACAAAGTGGGGTGACATGTGATCAAGTGGATTATAAAGGGTCAGGCCCTCTACATGGGGCTAGTTCTTTATTCCTAGGGTATTTCTGTCACTAGTCGCAGCAGCTGAGGACCTCTCACTGGTACTCCTTGCTCTGAAAAACTGCCCCCCCACCTTCATGCAGCACCCCCCCCCAGAAAACAAACGTGGTTCTGTGAACTGTTCCTGCTCATTATAATCTCTTGCTTCTTTTCACAGAACCCCAGGGGCCCCTGGGATTTGGGAGTTGGGGAATGTCACTCAAGGATGCCTATTGAGCACGGAACAATGGCCCCTCATGAGGTCAGACGGCCACTTAGCAACTGCTCAGGCCCTTAGTAACCAGCCCAGAAGTGTTGATATTTAACCAACAGAAACTTTAGATTTTCTTGATAATGCCCAGTTTTGTTTTTTTTCCAGAGAACTGCAGAGCCTCTTAAGCAAGCCCCACCCACTCATAGCTGCTGTCCCCTCTTCCAAGAGCAAGCTGGAAGGAACAGGGAGCCCTGGACTCCCACCCGGCTTTGCTCACCTCTTGGGCCTCAGTTTCCTGAACAATATGCCAATCATATGAAACAAGCAGATCACAAATGACAGTGTGATGATATGTCACACTTTATCAAGACTATTAAAAGCGTCCTTGTCATTCTCAAAAGCATCCCAGTTAGAAGGTTTCTTTTCTGGTCACCTACCGCTAAGGCCACTGCTAGCCCTTGATTCCATTTTTCTTCCCCTCCACCCTCTTCCGGAGCCCTGGAATTAATCCTGAATCATTCAGCCAAGGGTTTTCTAGGACTCTCTCTTTGTCATATCTGAAGCTGGGCTCTAGGGAAACTGAGGCAGACGAGACATGCTCTCTGCTTTCAGGAGCTTCCAGTCCTGGGAAGAGTGCCACTCAAGCACTCTGCAGAAATCTAGGATTGAATCCAGAACCTTGTAATTCTCTGCTTCACTTGCCTTGTCTCCACCAAGCTATTTTAGTAAATAATAATACTCCTTAGTATTCCAGTGGCATTTGCAGCTTCTAAAGCGTTTCCCTTGCGTTTCCTCATTTAACCCTGACATCATCGGAGGCTGGGATTCTAATATAGCCCCATTGCAAGGATGGGAAGCTGGAGGTCAGAGAGCATGGGGGCAGAGCGCCTGGGTGGTCTTGGGAAATGGCTCCACCTGCACTTCCTCACCAGTGAGATGAAGATACTAGCACCTGCTTCATGGAATTGTTCTGGAAAGGAAACAGGGCAACGCATAGAACATCCTTTAAAAAGTGGCAGATGCCAAAAATGAGCACTTCCGCACCAAGCCGTACGGTTGCCCCAGCAGTTTCCTAAACTGTTCACCTGCATCTCGGCTGCCTGGAGACACCTACCTGGGGATTTCCTGACCCTTTTCAGAGCCCAGGAAGTCCCTCTGAGTTGAAATCACAGATCCACTTCATGGCTGCAGCATGATCTCAGGCATCTGCCAGCCTCAGTTTTTCCATTTGTGAAATGGGAACAAGAGCAGGCAGGCTGTTCTGAGGCTGCAATGGAGTAAAACACTTCACAAGGCACTCGTCAGCCCAGCCCCGCACACAGACAACGCTCACCTTTGACTTTAACTATGTCAGGAGCCTTTGAACCTGATCCTGTGCCGGAGTGGACAGGGCTGGGGTCGGCAGTCACAAGGTGGGGTTTGCTCCCCACCCCAAGAGCCCGTGCCAGCATCCACTTTGGGAGGAATGCAAGACACTCCCACCTTCTCCAGCCTTGGCTTCTAGCCACATCCGTGGTGAGGGGCTTTGGCTGAGGAAAACTGTCCCCTCCACGCCCCGCTCACCTTGCAGGAGGAGAAGGGAGCCCCCTTTCCCCTTTTCTTTGCAAAGTAGCTCCAAGGGGCAAATCTGTTAGATTCCATGGTGATGCCTAAGTGGTTTCCCGCCCACGCCCCTGCCAGTGTGTGACTCACCACTGCACCGAGGCGGCGCCGTGGGAAGGGTGTTCCCTCTCCGGTTGCAGAAATGCCACTGCAGGCAGAGCTCCTGAACGCCAGAACTGGGCCCCACAGCAGGCACAGCCAGGGTCCTTATGCAACTTCTGACATTGTTCAAAATCAGTGTTTCAGAAAGCCAAAACCAGGCCCCGCGACAGGCACCGCTACGTTGCTTATGTAACCTTTGGCATTGTTCAGAAGCAGTGTTAAGGTTCACAACTTCCATTTGCCGAGGGCCCCAGAGAACTGGCCCAGCTCACACACCTCAAGTCCTCTCCCAGCAGCCCAGACAGAGCCTAGAGTCCTGGGGAAACTGAGCCATGCCTGAGGTCACATGGCCAGGACACCCCCAGCAAAGGTTCCCTGCCCCAGTGGTCAGAGCTCTGCTTCACTGGCCAGCCCAGTTAGCTTTGAGGATCGGAGACAGAGCCAAGCAGGTAAATATGATGCATTTTATTCTTTTTTGAATGAAACAATCCTGAGCAATTGTATCTTGCTGTCAGGCTGGAGGTTTGAACTCTTGATTTCTAAAAAAGAAAGAAAAAAAATCTGTCTCTAAATATAACAGTGTAGGCTAGAAACGCATATTTACAGCCAAGTATTTCTTTATACAAAACTTTGAATTGCCAAAGCAGGGGCCGTGTGAGAGATGTGTGTGACTGAGGTGTTAAAGAGAAAGGTGTCGTATTGAGGATTGCTTTCTGCAAGGAGGGGCGATGATGGTCACAGATCTCTGTTGAGGTTAGCACCCCCGGCCCCACCTCCACTCTGCCTGTCATGCATGTTACAAATCAGCGCATGCACGCGCCACTGCCTTGCTTGATCCGAGAGCCAAGCCACCTGCTTCACTGCAAGCTGCCTTTCGTCTTTCCCCACTGAATCCACTACCTATTCTTCTACCAGCTACTCCTAACTGTCCTGTGAGCTAATTACGAATCAGAGCTGAGTTTCAGGAAGCTGTGCGTTGGAAGAAGGGGCAAGTCAAAAATATTTGCATAGTCATTTGGGTGATGTCCACTTCTCTGGCTGCAGTCCTAAAAAAGAAACACTTGCCCAGGCCAAGAGTTACGGGCACAGACTCTAGCAGGGCAGGCAAGCAGGGTCCACACACTTTCCCACATACCTAGGTCTTGTCTGAGCCTCTGACTAGCTGGACCCAAGTCGAGAAGAGCCAGACTACAGCACTTAGCCAAAGAAACAGCAGGTCTGGTCGGGTCCTGCCAGCAGCCCTGGCCTGGTTGGAGCACTTGGTTTGTGCCAGGCTGTGCAACTCTGCGTAACAGCTTCCTTCTCTCCCAGAACAACTGTGACTATTGCCCCTTGGTTTTCACCATGACCTCACCCAGCATGGCTTTGCTACTATTTAAAACTCTTCAGCAGCTGATTCCATAGACTTTGGGGTGACATTGCTCCTTGCCATAATCAGAAGAGCCTGCAATGCCAGCACACAGGCAGCTGGGGATCCTGGAATGGATACATTAAGTCTTGACGGGGGTCCTGTGAAATGGATTTCTGTAGATCAGAGCCCATGTGCTTGTTGAGTCTCATTGGCGCATTGAGAATCTGTCTTTCTGAAGGCAAAAGTGTCGAATGCCAAAAGACAAGAGATCTGTATCTCAGATTCCTCCAAACTTTTCTTATAAAGTATCCCATAAAGAAAAGCGTACCTTCTCCAGAGGTTATAAAATTAGGATCCAGATTATTTGTGTGTTAAATAGAAAAAATTAAGAAGAAAAATGAAAATTTGTTATATAGTTATGTAAAAAAATTGTTATGTAGTTAAGGTTATCATAAGGAAACTGAAAAAACAATATTGCATAGCGAGGTAAAATACCTCATGTTCCAGGCTGTTCTGATTCATGGTTCAGTGAAGTATTCTGTCATATTTCTACTACTTAAAGTTCTAAGTTTCAGGAAGTTATGTCTACCATAGCAGTAAACATTTATTGCTTTTATATTGTTCTCAGCTCATCAGTCGCTCTTTCCATATTGCTTCAGAGGCTCTGTTCTCTGTGGCTAGCCAGCCACCAGAGATTCCCTTGGACTGAGTTCTCAAGATCTGTCTTGTGATAAAAGTCAGTGTTACTATGGGTTCCTTGTGACCCTTAACAGAACGTGACTCCATACCAGGATATTAGAAATCATGTGGAATTTGGAGTCAGACTTTTTTTTTTAAAACTGTGTGAGTATAAGTAGGTGACTTAACCTCTGTGAGCCATGAGCTCCCTCCCTGAATTCCAGAATCACTGGGCCAGATCAGCTGCCCCTCCTCTGGTCCCTTTCTCCTGTGCTAGACTTTATTTACCACACTGTGCTGTATCGCTCACTTGTCTATCTCTTCCAGGCCCCAGGAGACTCCTGAGGGTGGAGTCTTTGTCATCTCTATGTCCCTGTGCCCAGCACAGAACCTGGCAAGGGGCAGATGGTGGGGTTTGGGGTTGGTGGGGTAAAGCGGGCAGGGATAATGAGGGAGGGAAGGAAGGAGGAGGAGGAAAAGAAGGAAGGAAGGGGTGGAGGGAGGGAGGGGAAAAAGTGAAGGAAAATGCAAACTTTAAACCCGTTTGCAACTCATAATTATTAATTTCACAGGGGCTGGCCTAACTGAGTAAAAAAAATGATAGTGCTCCTGCCACATCTCACTTCCTGTGTCCAACACGGGCATCCTTATCATCCTAACTAGCACATGTTGAGCACTTGTTCCTTTGCTCTCCCCACAACCTGTGTGACAGGCACACAATGATCCTCCATGTGATCCTTCACCTTTTGACAGATGATAAAGGGTGATTCACAGGAGAGGTCCAATCACCCAAGTCGCACAGTTGACATATGGTTAGAGCCTGGTTCGCATGATTATAGAGCCAGTGTGTTTTATCAGTGTACCCTCAGCACCCCCAGTTTAGATCCTTGACAAGTAACAGATTTCAATGAAAAAAGTCTTTGCATAAATTAATGAATGAGTCACTAATCTCCCACAGTTATTCTCCCTCTGGACTCCCAATCTCAGTTGTAGTTCTTTCTTCTTGGCACCTGTGAGAATTAAAGCAAAACCCCTGAGGTTAAACAGGCCTGGGTTCAAATCGGAGTTTTCCCTGTCACCCTGAGAAATCATTCCACTAAAATGGGACTGATCTTAGTGCCTTCTTGCCTTAGGCTTGGGACTCCCAGAAGCAGACCATGAGACATGGATTCTCGTGCAAGTAATCTGCTGGAGAGGCACAGACACCTTGGTAGGGAGGAAAAAATGAGGCAGGAAAAGGCACGAGTTACTAAGCAACTTAATTACGACTGTGGCCAACTGGGGCTCTGTGACACTTGGGGACTCTGACAGCTAGAGCAAAACCCACGGCTCATAGTTTTCCCACTGGAAGGGAAGGGAGGCTGGAATATTTATTCTCCAAGGAGAGGCACCTGCCAACCGAACAAGGTGCTCAGACAAGGAGGTGAAGGCTCTCGGTGTGAACGGAGCCCACCTACACCACAGAGGTTGGATGGGGACGGGCAGGCAGGGCAGCCACAGCAGAGCCACACCAACCGGCCTGTCTCTCTGAGGATTAAGTGGATTCCTTTGTATCAGGCTTGGAGAGTGATCCCATATTAAGCACTCACTGTGTGGTGGCCTTGGAGGGACTTTTCTCAGCACTCTACATTCTTATGTTTCCCTTGCCATAACAAATACCTGAGACAATCAACTGAAAGAGAGGGAGAGTTTATTTTGGTTCCTAGTTTGGGAGGTTTCAGTCCATGATCAATTGACCCTGCCTTGGGGCCTGTGCTGAGGCAGCACACCATGGTGGGAACGGGAGGTGGAGAGAGCTGCTTCCTCCGCATGGCCAGGAGAGCAGAAGAGAAGAGGTCCCACAGTCTCCTTCAAGGATATGCCCCTAATGATCTGAGAGTAGGCCCCACCTCTCAAAGGTTTCACCACCTCTCAGTGGCACCAGTCTGGGGACACTACCTTTAACATATGAGCCTTTGGGTTCATTTCAGGTTAATTTGTATTCAAGACCCAAATTATCATAGCAACTGTGTGTGAGATTCAAACAGATGCCCGAATGCTCCATAGAACCCAGTCTTCAATCTACACCCAGCAATGTGCTACTGAGTTATCAGGCACTGGGGACAGCTATGAGCTCCACCAGCAGGGGCCTGGCCATCAGCATTCTTGGCTCCTCCAGGAAGTTGGAGGATGAATGACCGACACGCCAGGGCAGTACCCAGAACACCAAAACTGGACTTCCCATCCAGTGCACCTCCAGCTGCCTTAGAAGTGCCTGCCACCATGTGGAGGGCACTGGGCCAGCCCTCCCACTGGGATGCCCAAGGTCTATTTTTTTGTAACACAGAAAACACGATCAGCAGATGTCTAAACAGAACGTTTTTCCTGGGGGGGATTATCTTTTGCTTTGGCACCAAGATACTTTTTGCCTCACTGGGGGCTTCAGCTTCCCCAGGTGAAAGCTTACAAAGCCCATGCCTGCAGCTTCTCTAGGGACTAAAATTCACAAGTTTCCTGTAACAGATGATTGACAACGAGGATCTGACTTCCCTGCCACCAGCCAGCCAGCTGTGTGGCCTAAGGCAACTTGCTCTCCCTCTCTGGGTCTGTTCTCTTGTCTATAAAATGGAGATGATGAATGAAATTTAAAAAAATGTGAGAGTGCTTTGGGACATGTATGCTGCCCAAGCCTGCTGGCGAGGGAAGTAATTTTATCATTGTCACAGATGTTGTCAGGAAGGATGTGATCTCAAGTCTCTGAGACTCCTTTTTCTCCCCACCAACTGTCGTCAAATCCCACAGGACCAGGAATATGTACGTCCCCTGTGACCTACAGCTATAGAATATGACCTTCTCAGGCCTGAAAGGACTCATAGATCCCAAAACTCTTGTAGTGGGGAAACTGAGGCCCAGAGGGAGAGGACTTGCCCGAGGCCACGCAGTCTCAGTAGCAGTCAGTGCCGGGCCCCGTCGCTGCTAATTCCCAGCTCACCAATCTGTCCTACCATCTGCCGAGAGCTGGGCCCACCTTGGGCCCTCTGCTCTGACCTTTGACCCAAGACCCTCTCCCCCTCTCGGCACCCACGTAATCGACCAGCCCCCAGGCA